ATTAAATGGGAAAATATATTAATTGTTTTAATTTTTAAATATAAATAAAGTAAAATTAAGAATTAAAGTAGTTTGTAAATTATTTAAAATTTAAAAAAATCCACATAATCATCTTTTACATGATGGATTTTCCACCTAATATTGAAAATGTAAAATAGTCAATCACTTAGCGAAAAAATTAGTTACATCAATATTTAATTGACGGAAAGACGAAATTGAAAATTGAAGTTGAAGGACGTTTTTGGTACTTTTTGAAGTTCAAGGATGAATTGGTTCAAAAATAAAAGTTGAGGGACCAATTCAAATATTTAACCTAAAAAAATATGTTAGCCACGTCAGCATCACTATTCAATTAATCCTTAAATAGAAAAAGTTGAAAGTTGACATCCTTAAATAGAAAAAAGTTGAAAGTTGACATCCTTAAATAGAAAAAAGTTGAAAGTTGACATCCTTATTTAGAAATTGACAAAGTTAACATCCTTATTTAGAAAAAAATTGAAAGTTAACATCCTTATTTAGAAACTGTCAAAGTTAACATCCTTAAATAGAAAAAAGTGCAAAGTTGGAATCCTTATTTGCACCTTTACTCGTCCGAGTTTTGTGAATGTAAAAATAAATGTTGGGAGAGCTTCCCTTTTATGGAATTCAATACAACTCGATTTTGGATTAATTGGAATTCAATGTGGTTACTAGATACCAAAAGGTTAAAAAAAAAAAAAAGAATCAAATTGGAGAGTCAAGGGACCAAAATGGCACTAAAAAAAGTTTATGGGCCATTTTCGCATCAACTTAAAAATTCAAGAACCTAAATTGATACTTAAACCATTTTAAATTAATTCGAACTTTACAGTGACGGGGTACAACCATCAGTATTAGCTGTGGAAAGTAGAAAACTAGGAGGAGATGTACCAAAACAACAAAAATTCCTTTGTGAATAGACAATATGCTTTGTATGTATAGACTATGATATATATACCATACATTGCATGTTCACATTACATGAAAAGCAATAGAGTAAACAAAATCGTATATAATGCAACATGAAGGGACCTTATCCTCTCATGGCAACACAGTTTTTCAATATCTCTTATTCTAGTATAGATTTAGGTTTGAGGGGAAAGTTCAACCCTTTCACTATAATACAACTTGCATATGCTCTGTCACTTTCTTTCACCATGGTGAAACAATTCTCTTTGATCCGTGTTTGAATATCTCGTCATCTTTAATAGCTTGGTCTGACATTAAGGCGAGAAGCGAGCTTCCAACCAACAGACTGGTCAGCCTGGAGGCATGCAAAATTGGCCAGGTTATTATTATCACAGGATTATTATTCTATAGCTTCAAGAGAAGCTTCATTGTATAAATAATAACAATGTCAAAATATAACCAAGAAGGACTAAGGCTGAAAATCACACCTGAGACCAGTATTTGATCCAAATGCTGTGGATCTCATATGTGACCCCTGGATCAGACAAGGCCTCAACCCAACAATTAAGGAAATGCTCTTTCCTGAAAATAACAAATCAAACAGAATTTCTATAAGCAGATGTGTTCATAGATTAAGTGATCTCTTATGCTAACAACTAATGTTGTGTCTAAGATACCTGTCAGGTGCAAAGGAACGGTATCTTTCACCTAGCTACTTGAAGTTGTTCTCCTTCTCAATAATGCACTAGAAATAATTAAAAGAGAAAGTGAAGCAATGTACCAATGCATCATTTGACTTTATTCATCAGTGTAATGATAAACTGGTATTATAATGTACCCAATTATTCCAACATAACATAAACCTGTGGTTCAACCCATGGTATCAAAAAAATTTGTATCAAAATATTGGTTGCTTGAAAATCAGATTATATATCTGAACCTGCAGTCATTTTATGGTCAAAGCTGGTTCATTTGAGACTAAACTTCCAAAAAAGTTCTGAAAATTATTAGTTGAATAGAATTCCAAAGAAGCAAACCTTTTCTCACTTGGCAGAAGGAATTGGAAACCTCTCAGCATGACGCAAAGGATCAAGCTTGGAAGGGAAGTGGTTGACCTACAAATGATTATTTATCAGAGAATAACCCAACACTTCAATATTTAGTCCTCAAAGTCCAATTAGGAAAAGAGTAATCAAGAGGAGAATATACCTAAGAAAATGAATACATCCTCATCCCTATGCATGAAATTGCATAATTGTGATTATTGTGATGAGAACACTTTGGAGCATTTGCTGGAAGTTGCAGATAATTTGGTCCAAGACGATGCCTCTGAGTATCAGTATACAAGAAGATTCTAGTTTGGAGCAACTTATCATCTGAATAATAATTACCCAGAACAATGATTCTAGGGCCTAAGGTTAGCTGTTCATTCTCGGCAAACAAGTTATCAATATTCTTATTTAACACCAAGCGACCCACTGGCTGCAAGGGCAAGATGTCTTCTGGCCAGGTCTTGGTCACATCAAGTGGATCAAAACCAAACTTGTCTTCATGATCAATATTTATAATTTGAATAAAAAGCTTCCACTTGGGGTAGCTTCCTGCTACAATTGAGTCATAGAGATCTTGCGTAGCATGGCTGTTGTTACCTCCACCAACTCTTATGGTCTCATCCTCCAACAAGCATTTCACTCCACATGTGGGTTTCCAATGGAATTGCACATAGTGTGCCTTCCCAGCCTTGTTGATTATAGGTATTTACACTAGGTCCTTTCATATGCCTATAATCTTATGGAACACCTACATAATCAAAGAGGAATGTAAACATGCGCAAGCGTTCAAGATGATGTGAGAAGAAGTCCACAATCTTCTAGTTTTCCTAAATGTGAGACTTCGGGTTTGGTTTAAGAGCATGAACCATATCAGGGAACTTCATTCCATCACGTATGAAGAAGACAAGAAAATTGTTCCCCACTAGATCAAAATTTCCCTAATAGAAAGAAAGAATCAAATTTACATTTTTTTAACTGATGCTGAAAGGCTACAATGACAAGCTAAAGTTTTTGGTTTAACCCAAACTACCAATAAATCAAGTAAGCAAAGGAAGTCATGGGTAATAAAGACACTAAATATGAAGTATATCCATCATATTAAAGCAAGAAAGAGCATAATGAAAATAACATTTGTTTCTGTCTCTTTTTTCATAATATTTAGGAGGAACCAAAACATTGATGAGGAATCACATTCCTGTATCTTGAGAATCAACTCAAACCACACAGAGCCACATAGCCTAGCTTTAACCTAAGCAAATCTAGCTATTAAATCAAAATTACTTACCTCTCTAGTGTAAAATTTCACAGCGAATCCTTGAGGGTCTTTTAGAGTTTCAGGGCTACCACGTTCATGAATAACAGTGGAAAATGTAACAATGACAGGGGTTTGGACTCTAGGGGCACGAAGGAAATCAGCACATGTGGGGTGGGAAATATCATGAGTAACCTCAAAAAACCCTTTTGCACTAGCTCCTTTAGCATGAACAACATGTTCAGGATTTTGTTCTTTGTCGACATTAGCAAGCTTTTCCACCAGATGATAATCCTCTAGGAGAATTGGACCTGTGCAAAGTTAGAAATTCAATCTCTGATTAGGTTTCTTTGTTAGTTTGCTTTGTAGACTCAACCCCTAGTCATTGTATAATAACCAAAGTCATCATCTTTTATTTGATATATATGATAACATCAAATGCAAATTTTTAATCAACATATAAGCAGTTGTTTCAATATACAAAGGAAAATGATTAATATTTGTACCTCGAGATCCAACTGTGAGAGATGAGTTGTTGTTCCAAACAGAAGCCCCAAAATTTGTAGTGAAAAATGGAGAATTGTGGGCACTTGATGGACGAACTGCATCAAGCAATGAAACTAAGTAAACAAATTCCACAGAAAACACCAAAAACTGTAATGAAACTAAGCAACCAAATCAAGAATTGCCACATTTTCTTTGTACGTGAGTAGAAACTAAAACCCCCCCTTTTCAAAACTCTCATAACCATCGAAATAAAGCTACAAAGTTGTTACCTTGTAAGGATCCATGGTCTTAGAGACAGGAGGGAATGAATTTGGATAAGAAAGTAAGAGTGAGGAGAGCTCTGTATATTTTGGTTATATAACGGTTTGCTTGCAAAGATGGTGGACCATAGTGGGTCACCTGGGCAGACAACAGCCGCTAAAATCTAAAGGCCACAAGGAGTTCATCCGATTATTTCAATGATAAAAATTATTTAACAGGCTATTTTGCCTATACACATTGTGATTGTAAAGATAGAGCTGCAAAATTGTTTAAGAACCTCGTGAACTCGTGGCTTCTTGTCTTATCTTTGTTCCTTAGTGAAATATATGTTTTGAAGTCACCAATGGCAGAAAACGATGCGAAGACTCGAAAATATTTTGGGATGTTGTGAAAAGGTGCATGTCGGAAGGACTAGATCGGTGAGCCACTAACGATTTAGCTGTAACCATTGTTCATAATCTTTCCTCACATTCACACGCTTTGCCTAATTAAAATTTCCTTACAGCCACTAATAGTCGGTATTTCTTAAACTTGTGGTTTAACCCACATGCTTTGCTTAATTAAGACAAACTATGTTTCTTCTCCATATGAAAATATGATAAAGGTACAAAAATTGAATAAAACTTCTGACACAAATATGATCTACTATCCCAAAAAAAAAAAAAAAACCACTATTACCTCCATTCTAATAAGTAAAAGATCTTCCAAGGATTGGTGTATGTTTTATACCATCAAGGATACCCATATGGAGGTGGCCAAACAAATTTATTGTCCAGATTAAGTTCTCCAAATTTATTGATAGATGTCTCTTCTAAGTGGAAGATACCATTATCAAAACCACCATGTTCTTTAGTAGAATGATGTTCAATTTGATCATTGGTGAAGTACAAGCAGTTTCCTTTAAGTCTTGAAACATCTTGAGTAGGTATCAAGATCGAGGAATTATATACTAAAAACATCACTTCCAAAGTTGTAATCTCAATCCAACTACTTGAGTTAGATTTCAGCAAGTAAATCTCAAATATGCATGTTTTGTAAGACCATTCAGGACAATTTAGAACATATTTATTGAATCTTAATTGCCGTTATCATTAGTCCATTGCTAGAGCCAAATAGGTCAAACTAGCAACCTCCCATGCTTATTGAGTCGGGTAATATTAATGGGTTATGTGTAAACTTGGGCAAGAATGCCATGTCAGAAACTAGAAGTTTAACAGTTATGGTCAAGGCATACATCTTTCCTTCATAAAATATGACATCCCCAAAAATAATATGATGATCAACTATTTCAATTACATCCCATTTCTTGTTGCTATTTTTGCAAAAGGCCAATATAGAGTGTTCAGGAGGCGAGTGCCCCTACCACTGCACACCTAGAAAATGTCAATCCATGTGACATGAAGCCATCCCGCCTCTATATAACCATATTGCTCCCCTCCTCTTAGGATTCAAGTCCGCCACTGTCGCGCCGAAGTTACTCAAAAACAAGAAATTTTTGGGAAAGCTGAAAACGATGGCCAAAGACCAGAGGCTTTAGATGATGGCAGAGGCAACGGAGGGAGAAGAAGTTGACTTGTTGACATTCTGATGTGGTTTTTGGTGAATATTTACAAATCCAATTGACATTGAAAAGTTATCTAACTAGTAGCATATGTCATTTATCTCTCTCTAATTGAATGAGAGTTCTATTTTTTATTGTATTTACTTCAAATCTTCTTTTAATGGGACAAAACATGTGTTATGTGAAGATGTTGTCTAATAAATTTGGGAAGTCTCTAGCCCATTTATAAATTGTCAATAAGTTTATGGTTTGTTTATGAACCTAGTGGCATATGTTTCTGGTTTTTTAAGTTATATTCTTAATTAGAAACTTTTGAGATTAATAGCCTTAATTATAAAGAAAAAAATCCTAGCATGAGAAAGTTGGGGGAACGATAGCTTTTTTGTTGTCATTACCCCTTCCCCCTTCCCCCTCATCCCTCTTCCTCCTCTTACTTTCTCTTGTACACAGTAAGAAAAAACCTAAATGTATGACAAGTACCTTTCTTTGGGTCTCCTTTTCTCTTGTGGAGCCACCCTTTTCTTTTTCTGCTACTTCTCTTGCGACTGGATCTTAATGCATATGGTCATTGCGACTTGACATGGTAAGGCTATTAGTGAGTGGGGACTATTGTTAGCCTAAGTACCTACTCTCCTCAAGAAGTTGGCATAGCAGTTGAGATATTTGATAGCTCAAGATGCTCATAAGAACTTTCTTTCTATGTTAGTAGCTTTGTTTATGCCCCTATAATGATTGCTAATGTAATCTTTAGATGCAAATGACTCTCTATACTTAATTGTCTATATCTGTCATAAACATAGTTTAAGTTTGTATCTCGTGCTATAGGATATACTTCTACTTTGGCTATACATGCCCATGATATAAGGATTCATATGTAATCTCAATTTTATTTATTTTAATACAATTTCTATTTCCTATAGAAAAAATAATAAAGAAAAATAGTTATGCGTCTTTATTTGATCCCAAGCTTGTAAAAATGCATATTAAAAAGGCTTTGCATTCCCCCAATAATTTTCTAATCACGCGAAGTATTTTGCTTCTAAGCCTATCTTAAAAAGGTATTTTCTCTTCTTCTCTTCCTCTTCTCTTCCCTTTCTCTTCTACATCTAGGGTTTCTTCAATAATTTTTAGTACCTTTCATTGCTATAATTTCATTTTGGTAAAGCTAGCTCACCAAAGAAAATGGATTTAGGTATATTTTGTGGTTGTATTGATTCTTGATCTTATTTTGGTTAACTAGGTGATAAAATTCAATTCAAGCTCACAAAATAGATTTTTGTAGGGACATCATTAAGGAATTTGATAGAATCAAGGAGTTCCTCACTTGGGTTAGCTGCATTTTCCCTGATAAGAGCATGCATGTATCTTGATCTACTCTTATTTGTTAGTATTGTTAACAAAGCTCATCTAGTTTCTAATTTGTTTAGGTGGTGGTTATTTGTCATTGTAATGCCCCAAATCCCACATCAATGGGGAATTATTAGTGCGCTTGGTATATAATTATAGAGACCAACTATTACTAATAAATTGAACTTGAGCTTTTGAGGGCACGTAGACCTTGGTTCAAAGAATTGTTAAGCTAATGGCTGACTTTAGCCTTGTTTTGATAAATTTCAAATTACTTAAATTTCATTGATGAGCAATTCCTGAACTTTTTAGGAATTGAGTGTTAGTTGGCTAAGCCTGACATGTGTAACCAATAGGAACTTTATCTTTCTTTATTGGGTAATTTTTTTTTCCACATGTCTCACCTTCACCTTCATGTCTTGATACTTTATTTGATTTTGAGTCACTAAAAAAACATGATGTTGCTTTGTTATTTTTCTATAATTTCCTCTACTCTTACTTGTTGATGTTTAGATGTGATATTTGGGGTATAACATTTACAAATCTAATTGACATTGAAAAGTTATATAACTAGTGGCATATGTTTGTGGTCATTTATCTTTCTCTCTAATATTTTTTTATTGTATTTACTTCAAATCTTCTTTGAATGTGACAAAACATGTGTTATGTGAAGATGTTGTTTGGTAAATCCATGCAAATGCACTTAATTTTGTCATATCTCTAATTAGAAACTTTTAAAATTTATAGCCATAATTATAAAGAAAAAATTTGTGCATCCTTATTTGTTCCAAAACTCATAAAAATGTAGTTTAAAAAGGCTTGACATTTGCTAAAGAATTTTCTAATAATGCAAAGTATTTTGCTTTTAAGAATATCCTCAAAAGGTATTTTCTCTTCCTTCTCTTCTTTTCTTCCCTTTCTCGTCTAGATCTAGTGGTTTTTTTTGTAATTTTTAGTAGCTTCTATTGCTGTGATCTCATTAGGTAAAGTGGATCATTGATTTAACCTAGAGTTATTTATTATTAGCTCATAACATAAATTTAGGTTTTTTTTTTTGTTGCATTGATTGTTATTGTTAAATCTATTGATAGCTCACAAAATAGGTCTTCAATTTGGTCCTCTAATTCACCATATAACACATGCATCTGATCAAATCAACTATATTTCATACCACATAGTGGCTCAGCTTAAATAGCCTTCGCAATGCTTTACAATGGTTAAGCCTTTCAAGTTTTTGAGGGACTTCAACCATCATTATATGACGAAACACTCATAATGCAAAATTAATTTTGAAATGTGCTTCAATAAGTATAATAGAGATAGAGAATTGGCCCAACACAAAGATAGGAACATGCATTAGTGAAACTCTTAATTCTTAGTTCAATTTTAAAAAGGCATTGAAAATATATATTTTTTGATTTAATCTTTCTTTCTTCCTTTAATTTTAGGGATTTGAATGCGACACCCTAAATGAACTATCATTACAATGAGATTAAGTTTGGTACCATGGATGACTTAGTTAGCAACAACTTGCAATGGCATGGTGAGTATTGCATGACTTGCAAGACATGTTTGAATGCTTTCAGGACTAAGATTCATCTTAAGGGGCATATGTATGAGGTACATGGATGATAACTTACTAGAAACTAGAAATGGAGGTGAGGTTTTAATTGATTTAGTTGGATAGAACTTTTGTTATCAGAAGAATGTCTATATATTCTGATTGAGTTTAATTGAAGTTTTCACAGGAGAGGATGAGTAGATGGGCAATAATTTGTTCCTTTTAATGATAGATTTTAGGTTTCTTAATGATAGATTTTAGGTTTCTTAATGATAGATATGGTTTTCTAGAATTTCATTGCATTTCTAAATGAAATCTTTTAGATATGACTTTGGTGTATTGAATTGGATTGTATGCATTTAATTATATGTGTTTTCCCCTCTTTTCATAGTCAAGTTACAATAATGTAACACCCTGGATCCTACATTGGTGAGGAATTGTAAGTGAGTTTGGTATATAAGCATGGACACCAACCATTGTTAACCACTTAAGCTTGAGTTTTTGGGGGCAAATGAACCTTAACCGAAAGAATTGTTAGGCTAATGGTGGACTTTGGCCCAAATCATTTCAATTAGTATCAAAGAGGACATTTTTTGTAGGTGTGGGCCCATATTAACCATCATGATTGATAATAGTGTGGATCCCACATTATTTGAGGTGAATCTTATGCTTGTGGACTAGTGGGCCTAATTTTGATTGTAATTGGGCTTGATCGGGCTTGATCAAGCTTGATTTGATTGTGACTGGGCTTGATAAGGATATCAAGTATTTGAGTGGAGGAGATTGTAACATCCTGAATTTTACATCGATGGGTAAGTTGGTGAGTTTGATATATAAGTGTGAAAACCAACCACTATTAAATAACTTGAACTTTTGATGGGACCTTAGCTTGAAGAGTTATTAGGTCAATGGCAGGGTTCAACCTGGATTGTTTCACATTTATGCCTTTTGTTCAAGGTTGGACTTCCAAATTCACTATGAGATATGCTACAACAAGTGTATTTTTATTGAAGCAATGACAATAAATGTTGAAGAACATCATTCGTAATTTTTTACCTCCTTTGTTAATTTATTTTTGCTTTTCATATGATTCATATGTAGTTTAACCATTTTTTGTTTTAGGGATCCTCACCTTTGCATGTATCCTTGCTATAATTGCCCTGAAAAGTTATTGCCAAGCATTGAAGCCTCACTATCGCATAATATGAACCAGTACCATAAGCTAAGCCTACAAAATTTGTCAAAATGTATGCAATTATGATACAAATCTTATTATGCATGAGGGAGAGATATATGGGTTGAGTGATCCAAAACAAACAAAGAGGGCTAGCAATTGAGGTATGCACTATGACAACAATATTTAGATTTATAAGGTGATCTTTAAACCCACGAGCAGGTGGATGAGTTTAACAGGGGACTCTTCCAACTTAACCAGAAGTCTTAGTTTCAAGTCCTGAGAATGCAGCTTCATTAAAACTCGTGAGGGAGAGTTTTGCCGCCCGTTGAGTCCTGCCCGGCTCGAATCTGGATTAGTTGGTGACCCAGTGGGCTTCCAAATACCGGGTGGTCCATACCAAAAAAAAAAAGAAAAGGTGATCTTTAGATTAGAACTAATGCAATAAATACTGAAATCTGTTTGTCCTTGAAAGTTGTTAGCTTATTATAGCCAAAACAAGTGTTAAAAACTTATCTAAGCTTATACACTAGAAGAAGTTGTGAAGGACTAAACTTATATAGTAAGTTTACATTCTTTGTAAGAGCTCATTCTTTGCTCTTTTTTTTTTTTTTTTGGTACATCTGATTATGGGTTATACAAGAGGGGATAGCTCTCACTTGATATCTCCAACTTGGAATCTCAAGTTTTTAACCATTGAGCCATCCCATTGGAGTTCACTCTTTGCGTTGTTGTACATTTAGTTTATGCATAAATAAAAATTTTCACAATTTATCAAAAAAAAAAAAAAGTTTGGTTTGTTGGTTTATGGGAAATGATTTTGGGGCAACCTCCTTTTTGTACCACCTTTTTGTACAATTTGACGGGCCATCTAAATAATTGGTTCTTTTATTCATGTAGGATATGTGATATTAAATGCATCCATATGAAAGATGTATCAAAAGGTGATATAAAAAGGTTGTCCCTATAGCACTAGTCTTAGTTTAGGATGACATCCTAGTGATGGGTCCAAGTATTAGAGATCCAAAAATCCATCTGGTGAAGTCTATAGTAGTGTAATGTCAAGCTAGTACACTTCGTAGTGAGTCCTGAATTTTGGGGACTCTTTTAAGTAATGTTGAAGCCTAGCTTATTTGACTTAATTTTGTTTCAGCAGAGTATTAAAGAATGATAAGATCATGAGAATGCTTGTAAAAATCAACCTTTTATTGGTGTAATCATCAACCTTTAATTGCTATATTCCTAATGTTCTAAGAAAATTTTTATATTTTAGTACATTATTTTTAACCAAAGAATAGTCGTTCATCCCAATCAAACATGTTTCGAAGATGGAATACTCATTCTTATCTAAGGAATAGCAGCTTTTTTTATAAACTATATACATAAGTGAACAGTTTCATCTTCAGCTAGTTTTAGCATCTCAAATTTCCTCTTTAGTGTGACAACATTGTCGCCTTTAACCTTTATATCCCCTTCGAACTCATCTTTTAGAATTTTCCATGCCATTTGTGTTGTTTATACACTCATGAGTCTAGGAAAAATTGAATCTACCACATCACTATGGATGTGGGAAACTGCTTTGTAGGCTTTTTCCACATACTTTGAGTGACTCTTCAACTAAGCTACTGTAGGATTGTTAAGCAACATTAAAGCATTAAACCCATTCTTTATTGAGTCCAGACACCATTACCTCTCAAAAAAAGTTTTCATCTTGATGGCCTAGATGCTGTTGTTTTCTACTGTAAACAAGGGTGGATTAGTGAGTGAACCAGTTGTAGGATTAATGGTAGACATGGCTATGTATCAGTTGGTCAAAGCTTCTCTCCCTCCAAACTCTCACGTTTAGTCTCTATCACATCTCTCTTGTTTTTTCTATTCAATAGGTCCCTCAAGATAAAGGGCTTTGATACCAATTATTGGTGTGGTTGTTGGTATTTTGTAGAGAAAAGAATAAGAAATGAAGATGAAGGATGGCTCGCTGCTAGGAGCTCAATTTTTTGGTTTTTCCTCACTAATATTTCATTCATAATTGATTACATATATCATATTACAAAATTAGGCAATCAAGCCAAAATAGACCATTAAGTGGTGTTTGTTCCAACAACTCTACCTAATCTATCAAACACCTTACACATATAAAATATCTAGAGAAATGGTTCCTTGATTAAAGAAACTAGACTAACAAAAAAGACAACCAAGCACTTAGAGTTGCATTACAAATGCCATTTTACGTGAGCACTAACAGTATAGTAAATCCAATTAAAATTGAACGTACGATAGCCCCACAAAGAAAAGCCTGCAGGCCTTGATAAGGCTTATTTGCCCCAAAATAAAGTTTGAGCAATGGATTGAAATTATATATATATATATATATATATACTAACAAAGTTTTAGCGTTAACAACTTAAATAATTTAATAATTTCTTTTTATATTGAAAATAAAAGATTCTGAATTTGAGTTTCATAACATGCGGGTGTGATGAGATAAAAAATAACAGATGGTTTACACCTCATTGTGTAACTAAAAAAAAAAAAAAACCAAAGCTTGAGCAGTCAATGTATACGCCATACAGAAAACAAGATATTAAGCTTTTTTTTTTATTGGAACATATTTGTATTATGAATACTACTTACTAAATTTTATTGTTATTAAAATTTAAAACTTATTAAAGTTTAAAAATTAAAAACAAATAAAATTTTATTATTGTTTAGATAATTCTTCTATTCACGAATAAAATTTAACCTTTTCTTTTAAAATTTAATTTCAAGATAAACTAAATTTAAGATCCTAGTTAAATCTATGGTAATTTAAATCATAAATCTGCACCTGACTTTTTAAGTCTAGTGGCATTAGCCACATTGAAAAAAAATGCACTCTCCCTTTCCTCTTGGGTTTGGGTTCGATCCCACTTCTTGTAAATATGTTTTAAAAAAAATTTAAACCGTAAATCTATTTTATTTTTAATTTGAAATTGTTATCTCACTACATTTAAATTCAATCTCCAGCAATAGATTATCTTTTTCTTATATTTATTCTTATTATTAAAATTTCCTCCCACAATTATATAGAATAAATATTAAAAAACATATAATAAAAAATCATCTTAAATTAAAAACAAATTGCGGAATGTAGTGTAGTCGGTATTTTTTTCCTCTTAAATAAAAGTATTAACATACATTTATTGTTTAAAGTGAGAAATAGAATAAAAATAACTTTATAAGCAATTAAAATGTTTGTGACTTAATCCAAAGACAACAAAATGAAAATACAATTAAATATTTATGGTTTTAATTTATAATCAATTTCTTTATTTGTAGAACTATTACTCAACTAAAATAATATAAAAAAAAAGTAAAAATTAAGATGTTTAAATACTTTAAATATCAAGATCCTTTAAAATTACTTAAATATTATTAATGAATTTTTTTTTTTTACGTATTGATTCATTAAGAATATTTTAGTTCTTTCATTATCATTCCTAACATTTTAAGTGTTTGAACATCTTAATTTTTCTCAACCCTAAAGTAATATTTACATAATATTACTTTTAACGAAGAATGCTAAGCCACTCAAAAACTCTAGAAAACCAAAAATCGACAAAATTAGTGATTATAAATTTAAGACAAAATTCCCTGCATAGCAGAATAAGTACCACTAGTTCTTTTTCATTGGGATTTAGGAATAAGCCTGATTTTTTTTTTCCTGGGTAAAAAAAACACAGGTTGAAAGTATTTCCCACATACGTAACAGGCAGGATCAATGAAAGACAGCGCATCCATTTCGCCTTTTCTCCTCACTTTGGGGGCACCATCTGAGGCCAAGAATCATCTTCTCCTCTCTTCCACCTACATTAAAAAAAACCTGATATTACAATGGATACAGATAACAAGATATTAAAGTTGCTGAGAGTAACATATTGTTGATTCATCTAAATGGTGTTGACTCAGGAGACGTCATTAGTTCCAGAAAATTTAACAAATGATTCATATGAGAAATCTGAAATGGTAATTGTATGTACAAGAAACTCTCGCCTGACTGACCTCTCTAGCAAGAGAGAGTAGACCAACAAATTTGCAGCCTTATACCATCATAATCCTATAGCTTATTCGTACAAGAAAAAAGGGACTCCGATGTAACTCTTGTCCAAACTGAAATTTTGGGAAAACATATTTCTAACGAACAACTAAATATTTCCCAAAAGACGCTCTATTGCAGCGTGGACATTTCCTGCAGTGGCGATTAATGCCTGAATGTTCTCTTGGGTGTCAAGGAAACCCATTTCTTGAAGCTGTGTCAATTGGGTGGCATATAGTTGCTCTGGTGGTACTGAAACAAAGTAACAGTTTATATTAGCAGAATACAAAGAAAGAAAATCATGCTACCCAAGCAATAAAACTAGAAAGAACAAAATCTGTGGGGAATAAGAAAAGAGATAATGCTAACCATCAGATCTAGGAGCAGCAAGGCTACCAGTGCCAAGTCCACCAAACATGTTCATCAACATCTCTAACCCCGAGTTGTTAGCTGCTCCTAAAATTATGTGTAGATTATTGGCAAAAATATACATATATATATATTTAAAATAAATAAAGAAAAAACAATGTTCAAGACTCATGAAAGTTATAAAAATAACAAGTAGATCCATGATTCTTGTAGCAATGAGGAAAAGGATTTTGGATCATGTCTTCCATACCTGTGCCCCTATCAGTCTGAGAAGGTTCCCTACAAAATAGCAGAATCCAATTGAAAAAATTACCACATGCAAGAACCATCCATAAGCAATTGGGAGCTAAAACCAAATTGCCATGCCAAATAAGGTAACATGCATGGAGCCAAACAAAGAAGCAAAGGAAGCAAGAATATAAACACGTCTTATCTTATTTACCAATATTGAGAATACAATCAACACTTATAACATGCAAGCCAACTAATTAAACAACTTAGATGTTCACTAGATGTAAATTTCCAAAATTCACATCTTATCTAATTTATCAGTACTGAGAATACGGTCATCACCTAACATGCAAGCCAACTAATTCACCAACTTAAATGCGACCACTACATCTCAATTTCCAAAACAAGTTCCTGATATCCTAGTTATCACATTTACAAAAAAAGCGTGAACCTAACCCTGCAAGGAGAATGGCATACTCCAAAAGGAGACCTAAATGGAATTACACATAAAGGTCCAGTGAAGATTATATTACTTTAAGATTAGAATCTTTGAATTAGTGGAACTTTGAAACAAAAGGTAAAAGTTTACATATGCAGATATGTTTCACAACTCTTTTGCAAACATTCAATTAAATAAATGCATGGCTCAATCAAATAGATTCGACTAATCTAAATTTGACTACCGTTATTGCCAGTGCTGCTTGTCAAGATCTTAATCCTTTGTTAGCCTTTGCACATTCATTGTCCAAGAAAAGGAAAATGAAAGAATCTAACATGCTTATCAAAGTATAGTAGGTTTGAGATTCAGCTAAATAGAAGTGTCTGGATTCCCTTCTAATAAAATGGATTTTTTTCCTGTCTGCATGATTTCACAGATCTCACTTTCTGTAAAAGCAGGTACTGGGACCCTATTCCTCATAAAATTTTATTTCAAAAACATATAATAAAATAAAATGGATTAAGATCATAGTTTTCGCCTTTTTGGAGAAGCAAGGTATAAAACCATTTATATAAATATATTTTATTAAAGCACTTTCCACATAATTTATGAAACATCCCTTTTCTTGGAAAGCAATAAGGAGCCATGCAAACTGTATAAAAAAGAACTACTTGCAACAAGAATTACTCCAAAAGAATTTCAAACAGTAACCATGAGATAATGCAACTCACTGAGTTGACTGCTGCCGACCAAGCTGAGACATAAGAGATTGCTGCAAAGTCAATAGTTGCTGCAAGGAGGAAAAACACAGGTGTGTTAAAAAGTCAACAATCTAGGTGCTACATTTGATATTGTATATATGAGAAAACACCTCAAGTAAAGCGAAGTTAAAAAAGAATTAAAATACTTAATTAAATGGTAGCTTATGCATAAAATAATTATCATATGAATCTAGAAGCAAATAACCAATGAATTTTTCTTGTTTAGAAGTAGGTTTTGAAAGATGGATAGACCCATGTATCATACAGGAAAGATGGGTACACCTGTATTATACCACTATATTTCTATATATGCTAAAGCTGTGTACCTGCATTAACTCCGGAGATGTCAACTGACGAAGAAATTCTGGATTTTGCATCATTTCTCTCAGTTGAGGATTAGAATCAAGCATGCTCCGAAGTTGAGGATTGAAACCAAGAACCTGAAAGAAAAGGTGATGGTCACAAAACAACATTACCACAAAGTTCCTATTGTGTGAGAAGCAATATAGGTTAAATACCTGGTTTAGGTATTGAGGGTTAGAAAGAAGGCTTTGCATCATTTGTGTAATGGCTGGGTTTTGCATCATATGATTCAGTAAATTGGTATCTTGCGTGGCCCCCAACATGCTTTCAAACTCTGGGAGACCAAGGCCACCTAACCCAACAGGTGCCTGTGGCCTGGCATCCCCAACAGGATTTGATCTTGCTGTGTTTGCTTGGGCACCTCCAGCTGAAACAATTCCATTTTTGAAAGATTTAACCAGAGGCAAAGGCTCAATAATTTTTTAAGCAAGTGCATGATAGCAACCTCAATCTTGGTTTAAAAAAAAAAAAGGGCAGAATGTATTGTAACCAACAGCTGAAACCCCAAAAACAGTCATACCAGTTAGATAATCCAGTTGTTTTAGAATTACTAACTCTTAATTTATGACCATCACTCCCAAAATAAGCAAAGAGAGAGAGAAAGAAACAGAGGATAAGCTTACTGGCAGCAGGTGACCAAGGGTTTGGAAGTGGGTTTGTATTGGGTACAGGAGGACTGGTGGTAGTTTCAGAATTAGTGGTAGACTGATTGGTTGTTCCATCTCTAGCTTGGGTTCTACCTTGCACCCCAAGAAGAGCTGCTAATGGGTTTGAGCTATCACTTCCAGTATTCCCAGCATTCATAGTCGCGTTTAGGAAAGGTTCTTGGACATTTTCATACATCCGCCTAAGCATGTTGAAACCCTCAGGAGATGATTCTATGTTACTCATTGCTCGGTCAGTGTTACGCATCATTTCACGCATAAGCTCAGGGTTTCTTGCTGCTTCAAGTGTCTGTCGAAGGGTGCTTGGATCGTTAAGTATGTGTGCAAGCTCAGGATTTCGATCAATGATTTCCCGCATTTGAGGACTATTCAAAATCAAGTTTCGCATTATTTCTGGGTTATTCATTAAATTCTGAACAGCAGGCATGTTCATTATTTCTCTCATTATGTTTGGGTTACGAGTCAATTGCTGTTGCATTTGCTCAAACTCTGGTAGCCCAGCTCCAAATAAACCACTGTTGCCACCTAAGCCACCTAAACCAAGTCCAGGAAACAATGAAGCTCCTAAACCAGACCCACCAAGTGCCCCAGTTTCAGCTGAACCAACAGACCTTGTATTACTTTGAGTAGTACTAGGAGCTACAGGATTGGTCCCTCCAGCAGAGTTTGCCGTTGTAGGTGCAAAACTTCGGACCAAGTGAACTGTATGATCAGCTTCCAAGCCTAAAGATAAAATTAAGAATATAGTTAACTAAGACATAGGTTACATCCAGAACTACTTTAATTATGAATGTTAAAACAAGCTGGGGGCTCATTATAGGGACCAAATCAACCCTATTAGTTCTCAAATCTCTATATTGATACATCAAAGCACATGACCAAATCTTCGAATTCCTAAAATTAATTGTAGTAACCTTGACACTAAACAGAAGATAATAAAATTGATGTACCATAGCTTTGAAGAGTTTGATCGTCCTTCAAGATCCGGCCTTTGTAAATCAAGCGCTGTTGATCAGCTGGAACATCGGAGTTTTGGGCGATAACGGCCTTAAAAGAACCGACGGTGGAATCGAGGCTGATCTTGACGGAGAATTTAGAGCCGTTGGAGGATCTAATGTTAACGGTGACGGCCTCACTGGCGCTGGATTCACTAACCTCCTCATCAGCAACACTCGCCGCAGCAGCAGCAGCAGAAGCATCAGGATCACCTCCCCCCATAGTCTAACCCCCACACGTCGCAGTCTCAATAGGGAGACTCCTGAACCAAATAAAAAAAAAAAAAAAGGAAAACCCAGAAACAAAAAAATCCGATCTGCTAAGGATTGAATACGGAGATACTGGAAACCCTAACACTTGCAGTGATCAAAATTAGGGGAAAAAAATAGTGGAAAAATACAGAAATTGTTGAAATAATAGATGAAAAGGGTAGGAATTTGCTAACCTAAGAAGGAGAAAAAGAAGATTATGTGTTTGATTGTGATGAAGACAGCGTTATGGGTGCTGCAGACTGCTGGGGAGCAAAAAGGCCAAGAGCATGAAGTGATGCAGGAAATGTGTTCCTCCAGCAGACAAAAAGCTCGCTGCGTTGTCCCTCCTGCACGGTAAGGGAACTGGCAACAAGGCCGCTGGTGCTGGACTGGGCTCTTTCCAAAGGTCCAACGTACAATTTTCTTGGACGAATTTTGGGCTTTCTTGGACCTTGAAAATCTTATGCTCAAGAAAACAATACTTCCTACAGTTAGTCTCGCCCAAAAATTAAAGAAAAAAAAGTTTTCTCCACTGTTTAAAGTGTAGAAAATTATAAACATTTTCTGGTTAAGAGTCTATAATATTAAGAGCTTGTCCCGTTAGATGTGAAGAGGGGTCTGCCTAATAAAATAAAACTGTTTTTAATTGTACAGTCTATTACAGTTCGAGGTATGGGAACATACCTTTTTTTTTTTTCTTTGAGGTAATTCGTCGAACACTTCCACTGCAAACTGTAGTTATCGTTTTCTTCATAGATTTAAGTATTTAACTGCACACTGGGGGAAAAGCGGATTACAAGCTAGAGGCTAGTTTAGCCGTAAAATGGATTCTGTTTCTGACTCCGCGTATAAGGGTTAATGGATAATAATTTAAACAAGACAAGGCTCAAATAAAAAACTTAAACTATCAAAATCTTTAATTTTAATAACTAAATTAAGATTTCATTGATATAATTTTTTTTAATGCTCATTGGTATAGTTATAGTTATGATCGATTTACATTTTATGATTTCATTAGGACAATAAGAACATGTACTTTTCAAATATAGATTAAGAGTACATTTTTGCAATGAACTTATATAAACAAATGTAAAAGTAGACATTAATTTTAAAGTGAATGTCATGTGGATAAAATTAATGAAAATTAATGGTATAAATTTAATTAGACAATTGATAAATTAAATATTATTTTTTAGTTTTTCAAGATTCTTAACCTGTGTCTTAGTTTTTCAAGATTCTTAACCTGTGTCTTTAGGGTATATGTTAGAAAAACCTTTTAAATTTTAAGAATACAATTTGTATACATCCTACTTATACAAAATTTTAATTATTTATCTTTTTACTTTTAATAAGTGAAATTTATTCTTCTTTTAATATATTTATTAAAAATAATTATTTTTATTTAAAAAATCATAATAAATCTAACTATTAAAAATAAAAAATTAAAATTTTATTTAAAAATAACATATAAAACTCATATATAAATAAATATTTACTCTTAAAAATATGTTATTTTAATTTTTTAATAAAAAATTATTAAAATAATATAATTTTAAAGTAATTTTTCCTAAGATAATCGGATATACACTGTTATCTTTAACAAAAGCAAAGATCCTTCCAGAAGTAATTAAGCTTCAGTTCAAAAAAAAAAAAAAATCCTTCCAGAACTGGGACTGTGGGGGAGAGGAGAGCGCATCCGCGCGGCTGCGCCGCACAAGTAATGTTTTGAAATATTACCAAAAAAAAAAATGTAATTTTGAAATGAATCTGATGTTCCGCCACATAACAAATGGGGAAAACCAACTGTTGTCAACCCAAACAGGGAAAGTCTGTATCCCACGTTATGATCCAACGGTCATGTTTCACTAGCCGTTGGTTTTGAAAAAAGCAAACTTTTTTTTTAACACCTCTCCCTTCAGACAAATACCCATTGTGTCAGTACTTTCTACTGTTCATAAATTCAATGTCTTTACTCCTTTAAATGATCCTCCTCATTTAGATTCAACAGGGTACCTGCATTTTTTTCTCTTCCCGGAGGTGGGTTTTTCAGTTCTTTTAGAGAAGTCAACACAAATGGATATGTCTGATTCTGATGCCCACAATCTTAATGTTGTCAACCCCACAAATTTTCAAGGTACAATCGTGTTGTTGTCTGAACTTTTTTTTACTGGAAATTTAGATTTCAGAGCTGAAGTGAAATGGGATATGTATTAAAACTGGATCTGATCTCAAGTTTTTTTTTTTTTTCTTTTGTTCGAAATGTAAAAGGAGGTGCAATTATGGGGAACAGAAAGTTCGGACAGGAGATTAGGCAAACAAGGAGAGCTTTGAGTGTGATTAATCAGAATTTGTTGGGAACACAAGCATACCCTTGTGTAACTAACAAGAGAGGCTTGTCAGAGTAATTTGCTCAACACTAAAAATGAGAATTTTTGTTTCTTTTTTTTTTTTTCTTGAAAAATAATTTATGGGTTTTTTCCTGGGGGGCACAGAAAGCATGAGATTTTTGAGAAAACTAAGCCTAATCCAATGCAACGGCCGATTACCAGGTTAGAATTTTACAATTTGTGTTTCACGTTTGCCTGTTGGTTGTTTGGTTGTCAAGAAAAAGAAGGAAAAAGAAAAGAAAGATTCAAATTTTGGATCTTAAAAGTTAGATCTAAGTCTCAAGCTGGTTGAAATAAACTTTATCACCTAGAAATCAAAATGACATTGCTTTTATCTACATCCACAGTTCTAGCTTCAAAGTTCTAACTGCTTTGTTTGAATATTTCTGGTACTCAGGAAGTATGCTGCACAGATGTCTAGCAGTCAACAACATTGCCAGGAGGTACCACACAACTCCCATCAAACTTTGTTCAAGATTAAACCAATTCTGTAAAATGATGTTTTTTTTCCATCTTATTAACAGGAGAATAAGAAGCTGAAATCAACAGTCCCAGACACAAACGAGTTTGGAGATTTTATTTTCATAGATGTGGAGGATAACAAAGCAAATCTAGATCACCCGGTACCTATGTTTTTAGAAGATTCAGAAACAAGCCTACATAGGACAGATGAGATGGTATTTTATCTCATTTCCTTTCTTCACTTTTTTTTTAATGTGTTCATTATGGGCGATTCCATGAACTGGGTTTGGTGAAATTGGATAGGAGGAGGTGGAAATGGAGGATATAATTGAAGAGCCGATTATCGATATTGATGCCTCTGATGCAAAAAATCCACTAGCAGTTACTGACTATGTTGAAGATTTATATGCCTTCTACAAAAAAATGGAGGTAAGTTGCACTTTCTTGCATAATTGTTTTTTGGATTTTATTTTTGAAAACTAAGAAGTTTCAATCAACATTCCTTGGTTTTAAAAATAAAATTGAAACCTTTCATATAAGAGAGTTTGGTGTAATTTGATTTTTCTTTATTAGGAAGTTGAAAATTTATTAGCTTTCCTTGGTAAGTAAAAAATCTGAGGATGTGGTTAGGGTTCAATTGCCTTATTTGGTTGAACATGATGTATCTGCATTTTCACCTAATTTTGATGACTAAAGTGTGCAACTAACCACATGCAGAGTTCTAGCTGTGTTTCCCCAAATTACATGGTGCAACAAACTGACATTAATGAGAAGATGAGAGCTATACTTATAGACTGGCTTATTGAGGTACAATGGAACTTTCCCTCCTGAACCAATTGCCTTCAATGGTAATAATTGGTTTTGTTCAAATGCTACTGTGCATAGAACCATCAGCATCAATTCTAAGTGTATTCCCACTTGTGCAAATCAAACAGGTGCACGACAAATTCGACCTCATGAGTGAGACATTGTTTCTTACTGTTAATATCATAGACAGATTTTTGTCCCAGCAAACAGTAGTGAGAAAGAAGCTTCAGTTGGTTGGTCTGGTTGCTATGCTATTGGCATGCAAATACGAGGAGGTTTCTGTTCCTATTGTAGGAGATTTGATCCTTATAGCCGACAAAGCTTATACTAGGAAAGAACTTCTAGAAATGGTAATCATGTCCAAGTTTAACTTTGTTTTATCAAATTAATACTCGAGAAATCTAACAACTTTAAATTTCACAACTTGCAGGAGAGATTGATGCTTAACACATTGCAGTTTAACATGTCGTTTCCAACCCCATATGTTTTCATGAGGAGATTCCTCAAGGCTGCTCAATCCAACAAGAAGGTAAGTAATTAGTAGCATGGTACCAAGTATCATTCCACCCCTGGAAATTTTATTAAACTTGACTCTTGATTTTGATTTTAATGAATAGCTTGTCTCATCATCAAGCAGGTTGAGCTTCTATCCTTCTTCTTGATTGAACTAGCCCTTGTGGAGTATGAGATGCTCAAGTTCTCTCCATCATTACTAGCAGCTGCTGCTATCTATACTGCTCAATGTACTCTTTATGGATTTAAGGAATGGAGCAAGACATGTGAATGGCACAGCAATTACTCAGAAGATCAGTTATTGTGAGTCTTTGTACCACTTTTAATGGTGAAATAAATCTTACCGGAGGAAGAAGGGTTCTGATGGTTACTTTCGATGCAGGGAATGCTCAAGAATGATGGTTACTTTCCATCAAAAGGCGGCTACTGGAAAACTAACTGGGGTACATAGGAAGTACAGCACATTTAAGTTCGAGTACACCACTAAATGTGAACCAGCAAATTTTCTGTTAGATACCAAAATATAATAGGGGAATGTACAGCCAACTGACTGACTTCACCTGATTTAGTGAAGAAGAAGAGGAGGAAGCATCACAACAATTACTTGTGATTAGGAGGGTGATTAGTTTGTGTTGTTGTTGTTAACATGAGCCCATCACAACTTACCTCCATTCTTCGCAGTATATTTTTTTTGTATTCCCCTTGATACAATAATTTTACAATAAATATGGCATTCTTCATATTTGTTTAAGAAAAAAATGCTGTGAACGGCATTCTTTCACTTGTTCTACTTTTTGAGATTCCTTCTCCGAATTGGATGTTCACCTCTTTCAAATTAAAGCCTTGCTCCAATCTTAGAGGTCGAGAATATTTTAAAAGTTCATGTTCAAAAATTTCACTTGCAAATATAAAATAAGGTTAAATATTAATTCGAGGCACTCAACTTTAAAATTTTTCATAATTGTTTCTCTCATTTATTTT